TGCCGCTGCCCGCCGCTGCCCAGCCAGAGGCCGCGCAGGGTGCCGCCAAGGAGGCCGGTGGCACCGAGCAGCCGGACCCCTCCACCATGACTCCCCAGGTAAGGGAACGCCACCTCCGCACTCGACCTTGCGGCCCCGGCTGGCAGCAGGGGGTCGCCAGGGCAGCGGTGGTGATTAACCGCTGACGGGTACGGGATGTTGTAAAGGTCTCCGAGTAAGGGCAGTTAATGAACGTGCCGTATTTGCGTAATGCTTAAAGGGTTTGGACGCAACCCTTGGAAGTCCGGGAACGGCACAGGAGCCTCAGGCGAGGCTCTGTAAATGCTTCTTTATCCAGTGGTGGTTGTTGGGATCTAACAAATCCTCGTTTTTCGAGAGCAAATTAGTTGTTTAGCGAAAAGTCTAACTCCCAGCTGAATTATATTTTCCTGGGGGCTTCATTGGTCTCTGGAGAACTGTTTTCCAAAGTACAGCATGTGGGTGACCTGCACCGAACCTCTGTTGACTTCGTGCGGCCTGTTGTGAGATGCAGCAGTCTGTTCGCTCGTTGCACGTTGCAGGATGAGTGCCTCTTGTCTTCGGTGATGTCTTTCTTTAGTTTTCTCATAGGGTTGTGTTTCAGTTGGCCATCTGAGCGGTATAGAGTTGTGACTATTCTAATCTTGCCACACACAGTTAAATCTGCAGAAGTGTTTCTGTCAGAGTATGTAGTTGCCCTTTACTTAGACTTACTTACATGTTTTGTGCTACACGCGCTTGATCTTCCAGTAGAAAACTGTATGGGGCATTGGAGGGAAATGTTCTGAAAGGCTTTTGAGGTGAAACGTACTCTTCATTTAATGCTGTGTGCTTTTTATGTGTACAGTAGGGCCGAAATGCCTGCAAAATGTTCACATGCTTCATTTCCTAAATGAGCAGTTCCAGTGAACTTGATGTGACCGTTCGTATGCATTAGGTTAGGGACAATCCAGTTGTTTAAGGTTAAGCATGCACAGAGACACGTGCTGAGGTCCTCAACTATGTGTACAGGTCAGTCAGATTCACTGCAGCGCTTGCATGGTTTTAGGTTCGGCTTGTAGAGATCCAGCAGCAAGAGCAAAGCTGAAGTGTATGCTTTAAATTGACTTTAAGTTTAAAAGACATCTATTTTTGGCAAATTGATCTTAGGATTCTGATTTGAAGCTAAGTTTGCAAAAATCCTGTTGCGTTATATTGGAAGTCACTGATGCTTTAAATTTGTTGGGACACCTTTTTAATTGTATCCATTAAAATTTCATACTAATACCTGGATATGTTTCGGAATGTATCATGTTTAAGTTTGCACCATTATAACTCATCACTGCCTAGCAAAGTGCTGCTTTCAGTTCATTAATTTAATTTTGCAAAGGTTTTGCACGGTACTAGTTGATCTTTTACAGTGACAACAGTGGGACTCGTTGAATTTTTTAATGACAAGCCCAGAATCTTGAAAAATCAGGTGTTGAAAGTAGTGTTAATTCAGTATTGAGGCTGCTTGCTGACTTCCTAAATTATGGAACTAAAGACCAAACAGTAAACTGTAATTCCTCCCCCCTTATGTAGCTTGGAATTTCATTGTTATTTAATTGTTCCTCAACCACTCTCTCCAGAAAAGTCACAAGTAATGCATTATTGTGGTGCACATATAGAAGAAGCTGAATAGTGCTGAAGTTTACCTTGTTTGGTTTATGAATGTTTATGCAACAACTTCTTTCTGGAGTAGTTTGTTTACTGTCATGCACAAATCAGTGTTAATTCAAAAGGAATTTGGTACTTTGCTGGTCATAAAATTGTTATGACAGATTGATATGATTTGGGCTGTAAAAAGAGACAGGATTTAGAGCATCAAGTCCTTACGCAATAGGAATAGGAAAAGCAAAGCCTAGTAATGATTTCTCGCTAATGATCTTAAAAGTGGAGTAGAGAAATACTGCATTTTGTCATTTATAAGATCCTATTGAGCCTTTGTTTAAACTGGTAATTGAAAACAATTCTTTCTGTTCTCATCCCACAGTAACAATGGATACAGCCGAATAGATCAGTGTTTTTCTCTTAACATAGGAAAAAATAAGCAATTTACCATAAGTGTGTTTTATTATTTCCCTTTCCTGTCTAAAAATGAGATACCACTCTTTGCCTTGACAATATTGTAAGTCTAGTTTCTTACTGGGTTTACAGTTGGATTAAATTGCTGAATTCTTGAGTTTCTCAACAATCAGATGCATCTTTTGTCAAGTCCAAGAAGCATAGTTTCTCCTTTCATTGTCCTCACCTCAAAGTTATTGTTTTACAGAAGTAATTTTTTTTAAATGCAGCTCCATGTTTAATTGTGTCTGCTAGATTGCTGCGAATAGAAAACATCACTCCTGATTTGGGTGTGAGGTACGCTTTTGGAGGAAGCTTGTACTTCTTTTAAACTTGTTGGAAGATAGGCAGAATGGTTCAGTTTTGAGAAATCTCATCGGACAGCACCTACCACTTTGTTGTTGTCACACTTACATTTTAAAATACCTGCATGTTTTGCATGATTTTCTGTTTCTGAGTGGGCTTTATATAGGTGTCTTGTCTTAACTGTGCACACTTGGATGGAAGGGAGGAACAGAGGATATGAAAGATGTAGAGCAGTCACAGGTTCTCAGAGGTGGTGGAGTTGACATGAGAGCACAAGAATGGTTGTACTAGGTCAGACCAGAAGTACAGTATTTTATCATTCTGTCTTTGACAGTCACTAAAAGCAGATGCTAAGAGAGTAACTTAAAAATCAAGTGTATAGTGATACTTCCCTAAACTGTAGGAGCTGCCTTAGCTGCAACTGGCATCTTTATTTTTAAAATCTGTAGATTTTTCTTCTATGAGCTTATGGATCTGTGTCTTGAATCAACAAAATTTTAGCCCTTGCAGTGGTCTCTGGCAGGGACTTTGGTAGCACAAGGCTGTGTCAGGTGAAGAGCTGCCTCTTGCCTGTTTTAAATCTGTGTCCTGCTAGTCTGATTTGATACCTGATATTTCTTATATTGGAAGGGATAGGGAACTGTCAGTTCCCATTGAGTCTCTTTAAGATGCACCGCTACTTAAGTGTTGAGATACTTATCTTTAGTCTTTTGTTCTTCATGTTGGTGGCAGCTGACAGTGCTTTGAAGCACTGTACCCAGAGTACTCTAATTCTAGTGCAAAATGTTTAAAACTGAAAGCTCAGTTCTTAAGTGGATAATTTTTGGGGTGCAACCGTATCTATTTACCTCTTCAGCTGTTGAATGAATTAGAATTAATGAGAATTCAGTTGATAAGTAATCCTTACTCTATGCTGGATCTGATTGTTCTTTCTCCTTCCCTCAGCCTTTATTCAAATGTCTCCACCACAGCTTCTCAGCTGTCATTTTCACTCCACTTGATGTCTGTGTTCTCTGTTCATCCTCTTCATCCTTTTTGTACATTTCCTCCTTTTTCTCTTTACTGCTCGCTCTCCTCTCATTTTACCTAAGTTAGTCTCGTAGTAAGTACATATAGTTTTTAGGAATAAAAAGCACTAAAAATAATAAGTATGGTACTTACCACATGTCTGTAGTAATTTGGCTTATTATTGGCCATCTTTCTGCTTTTCATTATTGTTCTCTTTAGTTGTAAGCTCTTCGAGGTAGGAGATAAATTTGCTGTGGGTACTATGCCTCACATAGTGGTTTCTGAAATTTAATTTAATCTTCTGACATCCATTGCATTGCTATTGATGATGAGGTGAGTTTTCCCTCAAAAGAGATTTAAAAACTCTTCTAGAGTATGATTCTAGTGACTATCATGAATTAATTTGCATTGTTTTTCTCATGAAAGCTGTCTTAGAAAATTTCTGTCTATTGTAGGAACAACAGCAATACTGGTACCAGCAGCACCTGCTTAGCCTGCAGCAAAGGGCAAAAGCCCATGCTCAGGGGCAGCAGCAAATGAAAGGTGCGGTAGTGAAGGATGCATCTGAGCAGAGAGCAAAGTCTGAAGAAGGGAAAATGAGTGCTTCAGCTCAGCAGTCTGAACCTCCTCCACTTAATGAATCCCTGCCTCCAGCTTCCAAAGAAGACGAGTCTTCTCTTGCATCCTCTGAAACTCAGGTAGGCTTTGTAAAGTGATGCCACTCCATTTGTTGTGCTAGATGAGACAAAGAAACGGGAAAATAAGGCCATCAAATTCTTGTGTACACTGTGTAACAATAACTAAATGTGGTAAAGCAATCTTAAAAGAACATTTGCTAAGGCTGCACCAATTAAAAAAATAAAAATACACTCCTTGTATATAGACTTACATAGTCAGCCATACATGCACCAGGTGAGTTCAAGCTTGACTCACTCGCACCTTCCCCAACGTTTTCATCTTTGTCTATGAAAAACACTTGGTAATATCTAAGTGCAAAATCAAGTACTGTAGTTGAGGAATGATATCTTTAAGACACTATTTCTTAATTCCTTTCTGGCAGTTTGTCAGTTCTGGCTCCCCTTCTCTCTGTGTCTTACAGTTTGTCTGAAAGCCAAGAACTTTGCACAGAGTATTTTTGTCAGCATGTTTAATAACAGTTACTATGTAATGGATGGAGGTCACAATCGGCGTTTGAACAGATTACTGTAGGGTACTAATTACCCTGCAGCATGTGCTCTGCTTTAACTTACAGTGTGTGGGTTCCCACCAAGTGGCAAAAATAATGGACTTGGAGTTACGTTACCTCATCATGAAAACGCATTGCTGTCTCATTATGTTTGCTGTGAGCAGCGGATAACAGATCTGCTTTGATCTCTTTCCTGTAGGTAGTTTCTGTATGTGTGTATACCCTAATTGCCATCAGCCTAACCTTTAGATCAGGCTGTTCACATTAAGAATAAATGAAATAAAAATCAGCCTTCCAGAAGCTGTGGGTGGCCAGAACGCTGAAATACAGTCATAAAATAGCAAACACTGAGGAAGTTCTTCTAAACTGGGTAGTGACCAAGTGTGTTTGTCTTCTGACAGAAGGAGCTGTCCTTTATAGTGTTTGCCTTTTTCTTTAGCTCAATATTGAACCTCCTGATGACCCTGAGGAAGATTTGAGATTGCAGCAGTTGCAAGCAGCAGCAGCTCAATGGCAGCAGCATCCCCATCACCGGGTTGGATTTCAGTATCAGAGAATAATGCAGAAGCATGCCCAGCTGCAGCAGATTGTACAGCAGTATCAACAGATCATGCAACAGCCTCCACACTTACAGGTGAAACACTAAGGAGCTAGCATTTGATATACTTCCTGGGTGACCTAGCACTGAAAAACAAGCAGTTGGATAATTTGTGATGGTTGGCTCATTTGTCTAGCTACATTTTCTGCTTAGGTAGAAGTCTATATCCCCTTTTCCTACTGTCAACTTCATAATGAAAAAAGAATTGACAGATGGTGATGAAGCTTCAGTAGGATGAGAAATACACTTTACACTTGTCATAAGATTTTTTTCAGACATATTTGGGTGATACAGAACCAAACCTGAACACAATATGAATTTACTCAGCTCTGAATGTTTTGCTGCTGGAGAAAGAGTTCAGAAGAAAGGTCAGGTTAACAAATGATTACGTAGAGTAATTTGGTAGCTGCTCTTCTTTACAACATTGTATAGTACAAAAATAAATATGTACAATGATGAAGTAAACAGATGCCAAAAATATGCAAAGTAATTAAGAAAATCGCTATCTTGCATTATTTTTGACTCAAATAATCAGTGAAATAAAATAAGTCTCAATACCACGTTTGGGTAATTATATCAGTGTTGCAACCTTTAAGCTTTTAAGTAGAAGTTGATTACTGTATTAGAGAGTTGAGTCAGCTTTTTCTGGGTAGGTGGAGTTTGTACATTAAGCATTTCTTTGTAGCTTGGGCTGCCTGCTTGTTTGAAAAAAAATCTCTTTTTTAAGTGTGAACCCTAAAAATCTCAGACAAGATCAAGCCATGGGTATTAGGACCTGTATCTACACACAATGAAAGACAGTACCTCCTTGAAAGAAGCTTCATTGTGCAAATAAGATCTGGCAAAGGCTTAGAGAAAAATAATTGCTGACAGCTCAAGCAACTCTGAGCAGGTTAATAGCAGAAACTGAAGCCTTGAGAAATAGCCATGTACTGTATATATTGAAAGCGTGAAGATTGATTTGGACTTTAGCCATTGTTAGCATCCGCTAATAATACAGCTTGGAGCCCTTTGATTATAGCTTTCTTCAGCTGTACTGTTAAAAAAAGAAAAAGGGGGGGGAAAAAGCCTTTTATACATGAATGTCCTCCAATCCTAAAATGTTTAAATAGTCACAGTGACTGTAGACATCACCTGTTGGTGTTTGCTTTTTTTTCACTGTGGTCCTTCCTCAAGCTTCTGCCCAAGTCAGAAATTGTGATACAGAAATATGTGGTTCTGAAAATAACTAAGATGGTATTTTTAAGCTATTCTTGTCTTATCGTTGCAGACCATGTCAGTGGAGATGCAGCTGCGACATTATGAGGCACAGCAAAAACAGTTCCAGCAGCTTCATAAAGATTGGGAGCGATCAATGAACCAACAGTGGCAGCATCAGCTTCAAACCTACCCTCACAAAGACCAGCTTCAAGAGTATGAAAAACAGTGGAAAGCATGGGATGAACAGATGAAAGTCACTCAGTCTCATCTGCAGGAGAAAGTGAGCTCACTCCAAAATCTGAAGAATCAGTATCCTGCTAATGTTTCGCTGCCACCTCCATTTGTTCCATATTCTCAAGCCACTCAAGGTGGCATTCCTATTATGCCTCCAACTTTACCTTCAACTACACCTCCGCTGGTCCCCCCGCCTCTCTCTTCTGTTTCTCAGTTGTCTAATTCCTCTGTCCCTTCAGGATCCAGTTCTCAAAGCAGTCAATCTACTGAGACGCCAAGGCCAGCTCTGCTTCCCACCCCTGGTACCTATGCATCAAAAATAGCTAGTTCGACTGTCTATTCACCTTATCATTCTCAAGTAAGTTCATCCTTTGGCTCTTCAGACCACGGAAAGTCTCAAGTTCATCTTAGTAAACAAACTGTCTCTATCTCATCTGAGCAAGGATGTGGGGAACTGAAAGCCACTTCTGCAGTGTCTTCAACACATGCACCTACTATGCAGGATAAACCAGTGAGGTCAGGTGGATTGCTTCCAGATCCTCCCAGATCAGCACGTTTTGAAGGCCCCAGAGGCCCTAGGTAAGGATTTTTTCGTTGATTTATACATGTTCCAGGCTACAAGGCTTTCAGCAATATATAAATAAATGAAACATATATCTTATCCTCAAATCTTCCTGAGGTTGTATGAACTGTGCTTGTTTGGTGGAGGTTTTGTTTTTAATGTATGTATACCTACATTTATCTTATTAAAGCATGGATAGATAGATGCCTTTTGCCTGAGTATTACCTACAGTAGAATGTTGGGGTTTTTTTTTCCTAGTAAAATGATTGGGCGCATTGCACCCTTTTTGTTCCCAGAGACATAATATCCCTTTTGTGAAAATAGGAAAGCTGTTGTAAATACTTGATATGTCTCTGCTGTCCTTAGTTTGACGATAACTCATGCTTGAAAGAGCAGTCCTATATGAAAAGTGATCTAAATTCGCAGCATTATGTGTGTGGTACTTGGAACACAGTCTAAGAAAATCTAAGGCAAAAATGTTGAAGGATTGTTTTTAAGGTGTTGCTATATATGATAGCAATTTAATGTAGGCATTCTGAAAGGGATTTAGGAAGGTGTTCAAATGTATATTCAGTTGAATATTCTAACACAGTTAATTAGTGGCAATGTAGATGCTATTTATTTTTTAAAAACAATAGAAAGTACTCTTTGTTTGTAGTCCCACATTTATTGCAGAAAGAAATGAAAATTCAAAGCTGTTTACCAGTACTTTAACTTCTAGTGTGAGAGAGTTCTGCAGCTATATGATTGTCCTTCTCAGTGCACTTTTCAAAACATCTGTTTGATAAGAGAGGTAGTGCTTGTCTTAAGTACAAATCAATGTTTTTCTACACATGTAGCATTACTTAGCATTCAAACAGTTATAAACAAGAGAGTGAAGGAAAGAAATGAGGATTTGAGCCTTAGGATCCTAGCATTAGGATTCTTAGCCACTTTTTATTTTGCATTACATCACAACGGTCTTGGTTTTGAAGGTTGCTGTCTTTAACTTTTGATAAGATACGGTTTTGTTCAAACGTAAATCTTCATTTTAACAGGTGGATGGCTGCTGCCTTAATGTAAAGCTACTCTAAAAGTCAATGTTCTATGCCTTTTATGTGATTTTTATACCTGCTATATAGTTTAATCCAAGATCTTGTTTTTGAAATGTTTTTCTTCATACTTGACATGATATCAGGTTGCAAAAACAACATCTGGTCTGTCTGGTCATTAGTTCGAGACGGGTTGATGTGGTGCCTACTGAATCAAAGAACGGTGTTGTTCTGTTCAATTGTTTCTATCCTTGCATACTCTGCTAGACTTCACAATCATATCATGTTTATTTCCCTTCTTTTTGCTTCCAAAGTGATCATTCATGAATAATAATTCATGAATTGCTAGCAATGTAAATGAATGTTTTATAACTTTGAATAATTTTCTACCTCCTGATGGTATTTAAAAGTGTTGTTTCTGATCCTGGGGATTTGTTCGATGTACAGTTCTGAACAGACTGTTTTGTATGATTTGCTAGTGCATGTCTTTTATGTGCGTTGGTTTAGAGCTCAGTGATGTGTGATGGTAGGCTATGGATAATCAAAAATTTCTAGAATGCACGTACAGGAGCTCTGGTTTTGAGCTTACTTACAGTATTTAATTAACACTCGAACCTTTGTGCATTCCTATATTGTGATCGCATGACCATTCTAGGGTTTTATCAAAGCTTTCCCAAAATTCTGTTTACTGTTTCTTCTCAGTATAATTAGTAGAAAAGAGAGTTCTAATAAATTTTTAACTGAACTTGGGATAAATTAAAAATGCTGTGTGTTAACCTGCTGCCACCGCAGCTAAAAGGTCCCCAGTAATGACTAGACATACAAAAAGACACACACGCTCTTAACCTCTTTTCAGCAATTAACTTTTCTGAAGAAACTCTAAAGAACTGGCTTAAACTAGTTTTCAGAATTTTGGGAATGAAGTATCCAGCCTTCTAGGTATACCTTCCATATAAAAGTTGATCCTTCAAATCTAACTTACCTTGCCACTGTGCTTTGTAATTTCTTTTTTTTTTCTCTTCCTGTTCATCTTGACCTACCCCTACCCCCAAAAAAGGCAGATTACTGTGTTAACTTTTCAGGACTATTAACATTCTTTGAGGTTGTATAGATGATCTTGTTTGGTAAATTGCTCACTAAAACAGTAAATTCTGCAACAAGTCAACCGCTGTCGGTAACTAGGTGGTAATGTATTAATATCCATAGAATTATAGAATAGTTTTGAGTTGGAAAGCTCCTTTAAAGGTCATCTAGTCCAACCCCCCTGCAGTGAGCAGGGACATCTTCAAATAGATCCAGTTGCTCAGAGCCCTGTCCAACCTGACCTTGATAATGTGTCCAGGGATGGGGCTTCTACCACCTCTCTGGGCAACCTGTTCCAGTGTTTCACCACCCTCATTGTAAAAAATGTCGTCTTTGTGTCTAATCTAAGTCTGCCCTCTTTTAATTTAAAACCGTTACCCCTTGGTCTACTAAGAAGTCTATCCCATTCTTATAGGCCCCCTTTTAAGTACTGGAAGGCTGTTATAAGGTCTCCCCAGAGCCTTCTCTTCTCCAAGCTGAACAACGCCAACTCTCTCCGCCTGTCCTCACAGGGGAGGTGCTCCAGCCCCTGATCATCTTCATGGTCCTCCTCTGGACCCGCTCCAACAGGTCCACATCTTTCTTGTGCTGGGGGCCCCAGAGCTGGATGCAATACTGCAGGTGGGGTCTCACGAGACCAGAGTTAGAGGGGGAGAATCACTTCTCTCGACCTGCTGTCCATGCTTCTTTTGATGCAGACCAGGAGATGGTGGGCTTTCTGGGCTGGGAGTGCACGTTGTTGGCTCATGTCCAGCTTTTCATTCACGAGTACCCCGCAGTCCTTCTCTGCAGGGCTGCTCTCAATCCCTTCATCCCCCAGCCTGTATTGATATCAGGGATTGAGCCGACCCAGGTGCAGGACCTTGCACTTGACATTGTTGAACCTCGTGAAGTTCACATGGGCCCGCTTCTCAAGCTTGTCCAGGTCCCTCTGGATGGCATCTCGTCCTTCAGGTGTGTTAACTGCGCCACTCAGCTTGGTGTCATCTGCAAACCTGCTGAGAGTACACTCGATCCCACCATCTCTGTCATTGATGTGGATATTAGATAGTACTGCTCCCAGTACAGACCACTGAGGGATACCACTTGTCACCAGTCTCCATCTGGACATTGAGCCGTTGACCACTATCCACGGGATGCAACCATCCAGCCAATTCCTTATTCACCAAATAGTTCATCCATCAAATCCATATCTCCTCAATTTAGAGAGAAGAATGTTGTAAGAGGCTGTGTCAAAGGTCTTACAGAAGTCCAGATAGATGGTGTCTGTAGCTCTTCCCTTGACCACTGATGTAGTCACTCCGTTGTAGAAGGCCACTAGGTTGGTCAGGCAGGACTTGCCCTTGGTGAAGCCATGCTGGCTGTCTTGAATCACCTCCTTGCCCTCTATGTACCTTAGCATAGCTTCTAGGAGGATCTGTTCCATGATCTTCCCAGGCACAGAGGTGAGGCTGACAGGTCAGTAGTTCCCAGGATCCTCCTTTCTACCCTTTTTAAAAATGGGTGCAATGTTTCCCTTTTTCCAGTCACCAGGGACTTCACCTGACCGCCATGACTTTTCGAATGTCACGAAGAGTGTTTAGCAACTACATCAGCCAATTCCCTCAGGACTCTGGAATGCACCTCATCAGGTCCCATAGACTTATGTATGTTCAGGTTCCTCAGGTGGTCACAAACCTGACCTCTTACAGTGAGAGGGAGTTTGCTCCCCCAGTTCCTGTCTTGCAGTCCACTGCAAGAGGTGTGGGAAGAGAGGTTGTCAGTGAAGACTGAGGCAAAAAAGTTGTTGAGTACCTCAGCCTTCACGTCATCTGGTGTTCAGTTTGCCAGTCATGTTTAGCAGGGGGATGCGCTTTCTTTGACCTACCTTTTCTGACTGACATACCTATAGAAGCCCTTCTTATTACTGCTTGTGTCCTTTGCCAAGTTCAGCTCCAGCCATGCTTTGGCCTTCCTGACCTCATCCAGTGAGACACAACTGTGAATCACAAACATCCAAGCAACTTGACTTCAGACATGAGTTCTTTATTTTGTGTAAAATGAATTTGGTTTGTTCTAGTCTATTATGTAAATCAGTATTTGAGCATTTTTACTCCCAGCATAGCTTAAAGATTGGATTTTTTACTAGATCAGCCTTGTTAAATATGGTTTTCCATGAATTATTCTCCATTAGTTTGCCTAACCTATTTTCTCACATTCTAGCAATAGCAGTTATAGGTGCTCTCAAAAGGAATTTAAAAAGTGATGCAATAAAAATGTATTTGTTTTAAGCGTACTGTCTTGTGTGGAACTGAGTGATATCACAGTTAGTTGCACTTTCTGAAAGGACCTGTATTTAAAGATTTTTCTAGATGGCATTCACTACCATATTTAAGTAGACTTGTTGCGTACTATCAAAAACAGAAGTTCAACGAGAGTTGTTGATTGCAGCAAAACTTCTGTTAACAAAAGCTGAAAGCTTTTTTCAAATGTATGCCACCTTTCTTTGTCAGTCAGGTTTCAGTCTTGAGATATTTAAGCCAAATTTCCTTTTAGGGTTACATAATCTGCAGGTGGCTTAAACTAGTCCTCAGTGGACAATATTGAATTGAAGAGCATGTCTCTGTGCTTCTGTACTGGTTCAGAAGGGGTTGATCCTAAGGCACACTAGGGTTCATCACTTAGAAGTGACTTTTGGGGAGGGATGAAACTCGGGTTTTAGAGGATTTTAATTTGACATGTTCATTTGAATAAAATTGCCAATTATGTCATCTGTAGATTTGATGGACCTCGAGGAAGAGGATATGACAAATTTGAAGGCTCAAGACAGAGAGGGCCTCGTTTTGACTCCCAGCGCTCGGAAGGATACAGGTCACGTTTTGACCGACAGAATACAGATGGACAGTCTTCAAGTAGGTGGGGGACTATCCCACGAGGACCAGCAGCACAATTTTATACTTCGACAAATGCATCACATGGACATGGTTCCCGACCTAGTGGTCCAAGGTGGAGAGGGCCCAGGCCTCATTTGGGGCAGCAGCAGCAGCAGCAGCAGCAGTCACAGACAGACTCACAGTCAGAAAACAAAGAACCTTTTACAGACGTAGCTGGCAATCAGCAGACTGTAAGCAGAACACAGTCTACTCCTGATGCACAGAGTGCAGGTCCCATTGAGCCAAATGAGGACCTGACAAACACTCAACAGGAACCATCCAAACCTGAAGTCAAGGAAACTATATCAGACCCTCCTAAAAAGTGGACGTGGAGTTCACATGATCCTAACCAGCAAGTAGAAGAGTCCAAAGCACCTACTCCACCTATTCAGAACCAGAAATCAACATCCCTTTCTAGTAACCCTGTAGCTTTGCAGTCAGGTATTGCAAGAACAGGTGGTGCGGTAACCCCTGTAACAGGAAATCAGGATTTGGATTCACCAGACGGACAGTTGGTTGCTTCAGATAGCACCCAGGGCCTACCTGGGCCAGAAAGCAGAGGGAAAGGGCCGTTTATGCATGAAGATAGAGGCAAGGGACCAGCAAGCAGAGGAAGGGGCCAGGGCAGACTGGATGATGGCCGTGGCAGAGGGCAGGGGGATGGCCGTGGCTGGGGAATGGGCCGTGGCCGAGGGATGGGCAGGATGGACGGTGGCCGAGGGATGGGCAGGATGGACGGTGGCCGGGGAATGGGCAGGATGGACGGTGGTTGGGGAATGGGCAGGATGGATGACGGCCATGGCCGGGGAATGGGCAGGATGGACGACGGCCGTGGCAGAGGATATGTATACAGAGGCAGAGGGCAGGCTAGGCAGGCATCCATCCGTGGCAGGGGGATGTTCAGGAGAGCAGGCAGCAGGGAGAGGATGCCAGATAGGCGGTCAGGAAGCAGGGAGAGGATGCCAGATGGACGGTCTGGCAGCCGAGAGAGGGGGCTGGGTGGACGGTCAGATAGCCATGAGAGGGTATTCTCTAGCCGAGACAGAGAGCTAGCTGGGCGGACAGGCAGCCGGGACAGGGGACGGGCAGCT